AGGATGGGCTACGTTATGCATTTGATGAAATATTTTCTTACGATAACTGTCAGGAATATATGGTCTGATATTATTCGTTGAAGTTTCATACCACAAAGACTTCCCAGAAGGTAGAGGATACTGCTTGAAGTTCAGGGAAATTGCTGTTGTCTTCAAATTTTGCAATTCTTTGTCCATAATTTGTTCATCTGCAATTTTGTCATAGTCGATCAAAGAAATTTCTTCAATTCTAGATAAAGTATCTGCAACGATGTTGTCTCGACCTTCTATGTGCTGTATATCAGTTGAAAATTGAGAGATGTATTACAATACATCTCTCAATATCTAAGTTGACGAGGTGATGCTTTTTCTGGCTTTTGTTTAAATACAAAGATTATGGATTTATGGTCTCTGAATATTGTAAATGTTCTTCTTTCAGGTAAAAATTTGAAGTGTTTGATGGAGAGGTAAATTCCTAGTAACTCTCTATCCTAAGTACTGAACTGCTTTTGTGCCTCGTTTAGTTTTTTGGAATAAAATACAACAGGTTTCCATCCGTTATCTTCAAATTGTTGAAGTACCGCTCCAATCACAGAGTCTGAAGGGTCTGTATATAATGACAGAGATAGTTCCTGATTCGGGAATGATAAGAGTGTTGTATTGACTAAATCATCTTTGCATCGCTGAAATTGTTCCTCAGCTTCATCTGTCCACTGAATTTTCGTTTATCTTTTTTTCCGAGCTCCTTTGAGGTAGTCGTGTAATAGAGATTGGCCTTTTTGATGCATTTTTTAAATTAATAAGGCCTAAGAATGTTCTGAGTTCGTAAATGGTTGTTGGAAGCTTGTAATTAACAATAGTTTGGACTTTGTCAGGTAAAAGTCGTGATCCTTGAGGTGTAATTAAATAACCTAAGAATTCTATTTCTTGTGTACCAAAGATGGATTTGGAAACGTTAATACGGAGTCCATAGGCATTTAATCTTTCAAACACTAGCTCCAAATGGATTCTGTGTTGTTCTTCACTAGTAGGTGCTATCAGAAAGTCATCTAAGTATGGAAAAGCGAAATTTAGACCAGAAAGAACTGTATTTATAAATCTTTGCTGGTGCATTCTTCAAACCAAAACTCGTAACATTAAATTCATACAATCCAAAAGGAGTAATAATAGCAGCTTTATATCTGTCTTCTTCGGCAATAGGAACTTGAAATAGAAGGCTTTAAATAAATCTATTTTGGAATAAATATTCGTACCTTTTAAAATATGATGGAAGTAGGAATAGGATATCTATCAGGAACTGTTCTATCGTTTAGCTGTCTAATAATCTCCACATGGGCGAAGAGTAATCTTTTTTTTTTTAGCACCACATGCAGAGGACTTGCCCATTGAGAACTCGAGGGTCTTATTATGTTATTGACCAACATGAATTGGAACTCTTGCTTAATTACTGCAAGCTTTCGGGGATCCAACTGTCTTGCTTTAGAATGGACAGGTTGACCAGGTGTTATGATATGATGTTGAACATTATGTTTTAAAGCTGATAAGAATAAATTTTGTTTGCATAAGTCTGGGTATTGTTTTAGAAGAGTATTAAATTTTGTTGAATAGTTTGCTGTAAAGATATCACTATTTTCACTGATGGAAGCAACTTCACCAGTTACTTTCAGTTGAGTTACTCCATCAATCAGTTTTTTGCCATGTAAATCAATTATTAATTTAAATTTGTTAAGGAAATCGGATCCTAAAATTCCTTTATTAATTTTGGTCACTATAAACGGAAATTGGAATTCACGCCTAAGTCCTACATCAAGTTTTCACATTTTTATACCATGTTTCGATTTCGGTACCATTCGCTGCATATAACTTGAAATTCGCGGATTGTTTGTCTTGTGCTGATGCAGGTAAAATGTTAACATCTGCACCGCTACCCACTAAGAAACGCACTTTCGATCTTTTATCTCTGATAAATAGGGGAAATTGGCGGAGGAATGGATAACTTCGTAGAGAACCGTTTCGGAGAAAACGTCTTATTCCCCCTACCCATTTAGAAAGCAGCGAAAGATAACCAAGCAACCATTTCTCTTAGCTAGAATCGAACCTGAGTCAAAATCCCAATGGTTAGTGGTCCTAACCATTAGACCATTCGTAAGGCCAAAGCCGCTGACTAATTAACTGGCTCCATCTGAGACTGTGAAGTGAGTTATGACTCCGCCATTGTAACTCAACCGTACACAAAAGAAGCTTTGCTAACTTTTTAATTAAAACTGAACAGCGCAACTCGGGCTTACAATCAGTCTCCACTATTTGCGCAATCTAAACTGACATAAAACTATTTATGCAAAGCTTAAGTATTTAATGAATGAATTTACAAACAAAATCCTATCGAGCTTCATCTTAAATAAGCGCAAGTATTTCAGAATGGTTAGCGAACGATTCAAGCTGACCTAAATGCTTCTAATGAGTTGTGCGGTGGAGTATCTATTAACTCAGTGTCCCTGCCAACAGCTCTTTGCTGAAGAACTTCATTCTTATATACTCGTTAACTCATCCTGTAGGGAGGTGACGAAGATATAAGTAACAGTAAAGATAAAATCATATGGTAATAAGTCATTTTACATAACACTTTATATATCGCATACTTCTATATATTATATATATTTTAAAGGTTTTACTTAATGGTTTAAAATTTAGCTATTTTGATATTAGCAATGGACATTTCTCTTAAGTAAAATGAAATAAAAAGAGTATTTGTACGTTCTGCATTTGGCTACTTTTGAGCAAAGACTTTGTCAAAAATCTTAATACTGAGAATTTCTATTTATTTCGTCTATCACGTTATGTGAATACGGGAAAACAAGCTAGGACTCTTTACTTTCAAATATATACTTTCGTGAAGAAAGATTTAAGGGAATTGAGCTTGTATGCATATTGTAACGAAATTTAACTCCAAAATCAGAACTACGCCGAGACGAACCGTCAACGGTTGTTCTGCACAGGCTCTAATATACGAATATAAACCTTAATAATAATTAGACACAGTGAGTCTACTATTATAGCATCTATTTATACTTTAAATATTTATAGAAAATAAAATAAAGTTTATCTACTTGGATTTTGCACATGCTTCTTGACGAATAACAATTTTATTAACACTTGACATCAAAAGCTTGTCAGTTTCCTTGAATTAAAGCAGGAATTCTCTACTAGGATATCATTCAATAAACATAAAAAATACAATATATAATTCAATTAATGCATTATATTCACAGAACGCTTATATCACTAAGCAAACACGGATCAGAACGTGCATGGCAATGCCGAAAACGGATGCCATCCACAAAAAAGGATACACAAAACTCGCGTCATTTAAAACAAATACATTAAAAGTCTCGTGTTCATTCAACAACGTTATTCGTAAAACAAAGTCTCGTGGATATCTCCCGAAGTTTCTTGACGGCACTAAGTGACACATATTACAAGAAAAGAACAGTCGCGAAACTTTTCCGGCTTAGTTAATTACGGGGAAGCCCACTAAAGCTATCTGCCTAAGAGATGGTATATCTTCGTGGGGAATATTTTGCGTGAAACTAGCTCGTATATCCATTGTACATACGAAACCACGAAAACGCCCATGCAGCCAACCCATTCGCCTGGAATAGAACCTAGATCGGAACTATTTTTGTCAGCGATTTTTATTACTCGATCGTGATAGCCGGCGAAAATTGTCTACTCAACATGTTTACCGGAATACGGATATAGGAGGAAATACCAGTATTTTTTAACACTATCGGCGGTAGAGCTTGCCGCCTCTTCTACTGCCCATTGTCGTTTCCCTGATTGGATGATCTATCAGTTGACCAACTGCACGGCTGAATACATTTATCCTGATGACACTTGTTACCGAAATGGAAATGATGAAAACAATATTTTCCTTTAGGATTAAATCTTTTCCTAGAAGTATTTTCATTAACAGTTCTGTATTCAAGCAATTACCAGCTGTTGGATACACCACAAATCTCTTTAGAAGGTGTCATATCTGAAATTTCATCAGCCATGATCGCCAACTTGGGTAATTCTTCGTCACTAACAAGTATTATATTACGCATAGAATCCGGACATTTCTCTAACCATAACGTTTTAATTAAATTTTCGGACACATCCAATGTTGCAACAGATTTTAATTTTTGTAACAATTGACTGGGTTTCAAGTTGCCTAAATCGATTCCTGTAAGAAGTTTTTTAATTCTAGTACTTTCGCTTTCCTTAAATAAATCCAGAAGCCTTGTTTTGGATTCTGTATATTTAGTAGCGGAATTACTTGTTACGATATCCCAGATGTTATCAACATATTTGGGTTCTAACTGTGATACTAAATAGTTAAATTTCGTTTCTTCCAAAATAATTCCATTTATCTTAAACTGAGCCTCAACTTGAAAAAACCATATTTCTGGGCGATCCAACTAAAATGAAGGAATTTTAACACTTACCTTACATAGTTCGCGTACAGGATCTGTGACAGTTTTATCGTCTTCAGACATATTCACTTTAATATCAAAACTTCAAGCCACCAGTTATTGGCTCCAAATAAATCTTTATTTTTAGAACTCTTTCATCAAAAGACGTTAATCCACTTTTTAAATCAAAAATAATCTTTATTTCGTTTTTAGCAAATGTAAACAACTCTTTAGAACAACATCATCAGTAATCTTTTGTTTCCATTCCAAGAACAACAAAAAACAAATAAAACAACATTAATCAGTATTTAAAGTTTCTGTATAAGTTCAAATCACAACACTGGTACTAGCATATGCTAAAAGAAATTGCTTTTGAAGGTAACAAGAATAAGGTGATCTTAGAACATTCCAATTTATAAAAGTGTTCCTCACTTGAAAAAAGTTTGAGAAACACTGGCATAGCTCATTTATATCATGTCTGAAGTTCGATACATTTTCTTCTACAAGCGGAGAGGGTAATGTCAAGTTCCTATCACTGTTCCTCGCCCCTAAAATGAATGTACAGCATTTTTTGCAGTTAATTGTACAAAATGAATCATATTTATTTGACATAGAATACATTTAAGTTAAACTATGGTTACAAAAAATTGTACAATATTTAAAATTACACAGCTTTTGGAGACAATTCTTAATACACAATTTATCTGTATCATTTGCGAAATATTTTTTTTTTTAATTCCAATTTTGAGAAGTATTTCTTTTAACATTTTCTCATATTTCTTCAAGGAAAGACTTTTCATCTAATGTGCTAAACAGTTGATCAAAGTCATCATCTGAAACACACAAAGAAAGGTTTAGAATTTATAACTTAAAAACAATGCAATTGTTCATATGTGAAAAAGTTATTTGCATCGTTTCAAAGCAAAATTTTAATTTACAGATACAATGACATGCTGTTTAATTCCATAACTATGATCTAGCTATTATAACGTCATTTATTTTATGTCTTATGAGATTTTTTTAAAATTAACATCCTTGTATATCCACACTATTTAATGACTTGTATTCTCTAATTTTCAGGAAACTAATTCATGTTTGAGAGTCTATAAGAAATTCTATTCTATGGTTGGAGTGGCGCACTTTTCCGTTACCGTGAACAATATTTATGTACAAAAAAATGTTGTGGGCATTTTGTTATGGTAGATAAACACAAAATGCTGTGGGCATTTTGTTATGGTAAATAAACATAACAAGATACAATTGTTAAGTGTCTGCTGTGGTAGTTCAGGAACATCTAAAATGCGATTTTTCCATCAGTTGCTTTCTAGTCACTAAACAACAAAACCCATCTTTTTCTTGTATATAACACATATTTTTTTCCTACAGTGAAATTTAAAAAAAATTTAAGCTCAATAATGTAACTAGAAATGATTTAACTCTGTTTTTTAATTTAACATGTGATTTTGTTTTGTCAAATATATTTCAAAGTGATCTTGTGAAAAAAACTATAAGCTCACACTGTCTTAAAGTTTTCATATTTAGTGTAATAAATATGACTATTATATCACAGATTGTGATGTGAAAAAATGAGCATGTGTTCATTCAAGAACATTTAAAAAATAAGTCTATTGTCAGTTTATTTATCACACCGATTTATATGCATATAAATCAGTGTGATAAATACATAAGATATATAAAATATGTGAACCAAAATTGTAATTTAAACTAATGGTAAATTTTTTAAATCTTCCCCTCTGTTTTTTAAAATTGTAATAACTTCCCTGGATTGCATCATTTTGAGCTCATTCCATTTCGCATAGCCTGCTCAGCTCTGATGACTTAATAGTTGGAAACCAAAACTGTAACCTCAAACCAAAATTTTTCTCTTTGCATGCTTCCATATCGGATAAATAGGCACTTCAGCTTTTGCCTCTATGCTGTTTAGATACTGTTTCATTCTGCTCTGTACCTATTGCAACAATATGAAAAATGTAAATGCTTTTGAATAGGCACGACTAGAGTGCCAAGTGAATTGTGGCCACAAACGTCAACTGGAAAATAAAAATGGAATTAAAACTGCTTCGACTGCCAAGTATTTTAGATATTCCGAAGTCAACATATTAGCATACTACACAATCAGAATTCTTCAATATGGATCTAAGTACGTATCAGCAGTGCTGCGGGTTTTCCTTGCTACACACAAAACTATGATCAATAAATACAGTGAATGATTGACTTCATAATTTATTTGCAGATACTTGCTGTACATGGATGCAGAAACACAGCTTATCATCCTTCAAAATAATTGCCTGGTTATGCAGTCCTAAAAACACATATAAGTTTTCCCTATTTTAGACGAAGGCCTAAAATATACAAGACAGTAGTTCTGACAGATACCGATTTCAAAACTCAGTTATAAATCGATATTCCTAGAACTCAAAACTCAAATAAGGTTCGAGTTTTGAGTTCTAGGAATATCGGAAAGTTTTAACATGACACTCTTTTTATTCTTTGGAACAGTAATAATTGTAACGTTTATATTATAGAACATCTAACTGCGTATATGAACACAAGTCTCTCATTAAACTCGTAAACAATAGAATACACTTTTTGTTGCCAGATTCAGAATCACAAAGTTATTAACGATAAACAAAGTGAAGTTATACTGAAAATAATTAGAAATAATAAAATAAATAAAAAATTAAATTTAACATAAATTTAACACTCAGTGCATACATTTAACATTCTGTTTTCTACATCCTCCCACCTTGATTTGTGAGACTTCACAACTCAACAATGGCATTACAAATCAAGTCTCTTTGGTATTTTGAAACCTCTTCCAGATCGAGTTGTTCAGTTCATCTAACGGGTTCTGCAGGGTCTGCTACTTGTATTTGGGATAGTTCAGAATGAGACACTTGCTTTCTTTTCTTGTGAAATCCATAGCCATTTCACAAGTAATCTCTAGCGGAAACAACTGTTGTATGAGTCTCATGATTTCTCCATGAGCTGTCCGAAGTTTCACGAGTCTGGCGATTCCTTCTTTTCCAGAAATAATTTCTGTTACTCATCCTAGAGGGCAGCTAATGCGTTTCCGATTGTCACTCCTATGTCACTGCCTACGTCTCCCACAGATATCGTTAACCATTTTTTAATTAAAGAACCCAGATATTCAGACCTGAATCTTTTCTTAACATCTTTTGGAAGTGCGAGTTGATATTTTAATCTTCTATTAAGGCTTTTGTGATCTGCTGCATCACAGCCCGGTACCCAGATTTCTTTGATGTCTTGAAGAAATAATGATGGTGACAGAGGAGCAAAATCTGAGTCATTTTCCGAAATATATGCGAGAGGTCTTGAGTTAATAATCGACCCAGTCACACAGAATCATCTCCTCATATGATAAACAAGCACCACCTATCACTCTCTTTAATATATCTTTTACAATTCAAATTAACCGTTCCTACCAACCACCCCACCAGGAGGCAGAAGGAGCATTGAATTTCCACTGAATGCGATTCACAGTTGAATTTTCGATGATTCGATCCCAGAGTTCTTAACAAATTATCGGCTCCAACAAAATTGGTTCCATTGTCACAGTAACAGGGTTGCCACTCAAACAGGAGAATTAAATTCCACGACTTTTCCAGGTGTGTTTTAAGAAAATTCCAGTCTATCCGCGTAATGCACATTGGCTGTGCTAAGAGGTAAATTAATTATGATACCACTTGAAAACACAAAAATTTGCCAATTACATATGACTTATAATATATAATCCCCAAAGCATTGCTATTATAACTAACTATAATAGGAGTCGTTTTCTCCACTGACGATTGAGCTTAGAATCTGCCCAATCTGGATTAAAAATTGTCTTTTTTTGCAAACAAACAAAAGAAAGAAATCTATTTAATGATATTTTTAAATAAATTCAGGTATTTTATATTTATTTAGCAGCATACATAAGCAAAAAATATGCGTATTAAATTTTGTAATGGTATGTCATCAAACTGCTAGAATTAGTTTCAGGATTATGTCAGAGAAAATTTCCTGAAGTTTTAAAGTACAGTCAAAAGTCGTTAATTCGGACACCCATAATCCGGAATGATCTATAATCCGGACCTCAAAGCTAAAAACTTTCTGCGCATGTGCCGCCGCACAGGCGTTTTACGCGTGCGCGTAAGACCTTGACTACTGCGCATATGCGTGTGCGCAAGCGCAGAGTACGTTTTCGCCTGCGCGTTTAATGTATAACGCACGGTGTAAGCTAAAATTATTTAATTATCTATTTCAGTTAATGTTAATGATTGTGTTGTTCCTTAATCTTCGAATTGGATCCCTCTTATTATTTTTTGCAGACTGTAAGAGCAATTTTATAAAAGTAAACTTGAACTTTCGATTATGTCAAATAGAATTTCCGATGCTGGAACTTCCAAAGAATCTACAAAACGAAAGTATGTTTCGATGTCCAACAAACAAAAAGTGGAATTGCTGCAAAAAATGGATAAAGACATGAAGAATGTGACAGAGAGGTTAGTGAAAACGAAAAAATTTCGATTGACAAGTTAGTCGGTATTCTCGGCACAGCAATTAACGGGACTTTGTAACTGAACAAGAAATTATGTCTGTTTATAGAATTAAAGAGAAAGTATTATCACATAAAATGAAGCAACTTAAACAATTTACATTGAAAGAAATGTTTAATAAAGTAAGCAAATATATATTATGCTTTTTTTTTTTGTAAATTTTGATACCCTTTAGATCATAATTGTTCTTTATTTCATAAATTACGGTTTCATATTTTTAATTTTAGAATTTCTGCATGCCATCTTACGAGATTTAAACTGATGATCTATAATCCGGAAAAATCGATAATCCGGAAAAATCGATAATCCGGAATCGCCAAAGTCCCGACGAGTCCGGATTAACGACTTTTGACTGTATTATTTACTAATAATAAATAAATTTAGAGAGAATAAGCAACACTAAATGAAACGAATAACATCACAATAAAAATTATTACTTAAAAATTGATTTAGAATAATCAACGATATTTTGGCGAGTATAGTTGTATTAAATGGTTAGCGCATGCGAGCAGGCCCTCACGACAGTAGGTGCAAGGTCGTGCAGCGAGTCAAAAAGGCGTCAGGGATTCATTAAAACAAGCAGTTTGTTTCGCTGCCTGTCTGAACAGAAAAAAAATTCTTTTCTTATTTGAACGGCTCTCCGGGTCGACTCGGGTAAAACCTCGGAAGCTACTGATTAGGATCTGTACCTAGGCAGTCTCGGCCACGGGTGTTTAAAATCAGTCTCCGCAGGACTGGAGTCATCACTAGCGACGGCTGTTTCAGGCTCGGCAGGGACCATATGGAGTTCTTGTCTGTTCAGCTGGTTATGGTTGAGCTATATAATCAGATATTTATGGATTTGTCCGGGAGGAAACACTCCCGTCAGTGGAGTTGGTGACTTCAGCAAGCCTTTAAACTGCTTGAGGTTTCCAGTGGGCACCTGGAGCCATAAAATTACATATTCATATCCTTCCTTGGTTCCCCCCTGGGGCGCCTAAAGCCGACATCTGTATACCATGACGTAGTGTTAGCAAGCCGGATTGGTGGCCCGGTCTGTCTGACGGTGTTTAAGTGACTTCGTTCTGCTGTCCAGGGTTGGGGCATCTGTTGATGGCAAATGTTTTTACCATTCTTCCAGAGCGGGGACGTGGAATGTGAGTTGCTGACTATTCCTGTCGGCTCTGCTTAGTCTTAGCTCTTCGGCTCAACCGATAGGTTAGTGGCCTGGATAGCCTCTAGGTGGTGGGGCGTTTAACTGTGTTAAGGCA